ACCCCCCCCCTCCCTCCATCCACGCACCTTTCCTCCCTCCCTCCATCCATCCATCCACGCATCTTTCTTCCCTCCATCAATTCATCCATCCACGCACCTTTCCTCCATCTATCCACACACACCCACCCATCCATCCATCCATCCATCCATCCACACACCTTCCCTCTATCCCTCCATCTGCGCACCCCCCTCCCTCCCTCCCTCCCTCCCTCCATGCTTGCACCCCCCGCATCCATCCACATACCCCTCCTTTCCTCCATCCATTCCTGCAGCATTTGACCCTTGTAGCTCAGGCTACATTCTTCTGCACAGCATTGTGCTCTCAGCTCTGAGCTTTCATTTCAAGCACAAATGACTTGACGTTGCCTGAGTTTGCCGAGAGCCTGAGCCCATCGCTGCAGGGTCGGGGGAATCAGCCCTGGGGTGTGACCGACGGAGCCTGAGTCTGCTGAGAGCCTGAGCCCGTCACTTGGGGCGGGGGGGGGGGGCGGGAATTGACGCAGCCTAAGCCCGTGGCTGATTCTGTCTCTTCCCCCTCCCCCAGAACTGCTTTGAGCTCTACATTCCCAACAACAAGGGCCAGCTGATCAAGGCCTGCAAGACGGAGGCCGACGGGCGGGTGGTGGAAGGGAACCACATGGTCTATCGCATCTCGGCCCCCACGCAGGAGGAGAAGGACGAGTGGATCAAATCCATCAAGTGAGGAGCACCCCCACCTGCCCCATCCCCCTCCCAGAGCTGGGGATAGAACCCAGGCGTCCTGGCTCCCACCCCCCTCCCAGGGTATTGCGGGTGGATGGTTCCAGCTCATGATGGGGAAGGAGAGAACAGATTTAGGGAGCTGGAGGCGGGGGGGGGGAGGTCTGATACACCCCATTGGGGGGGCATGTGGGGGCAGGGGCATTCCCAGCAATGGTGGACGGGCCGTGGGGCCTCCATGGGGGTGACTGCCCCAAGGCCAGGGCTCTTGGCTGCAGCAAGATCCCCTGGCCCCCCTAACCTCCCGCTCCCCCCAGGGCTGCTGTCAGCGTGGACCCCTTCTACGAGATGCTGGCCGCTCGCAAGAAGCGCATCTCGGTCAAGAAGAAACAGGAGCAGGCGTGAGCCAGGCCAGCCACCAGGCTGCCTTTCTGTGCCCCCCCAACCCACCTCCCTCAGCGTCGCTGAAACTGACACCCCCCCTGGGCCGGGGGGCCCAGCCACGGACAGACAGATGGACAGAGCATCACTGACTTCCCCTCCCCCAGCATCAGTGTGTACCCTGATCTGTCTTCCGACATCCTCCCAGTCACACTACTTGGGATACAGTCCCTCTCCAGGAGCCACTGGGTACCATGGGCCAGCAAGCCCCTCCCCGCCTGTGGGGGCTGCGGCCTGGGGCCTCTGCCATGCCATCAGGACCTTGCACCAGATTCTGATCAGGAGTGACTCCAGATTGACCCTGGGGGAGCAGAGATCAGAATCCAAACCTGCCCCCATTGCAAACAGGAGTGACTCTGGATTGACTTTGGGGGAACTGAGATTAGAATCCGGCCCTGCCCACATTGCAAACAGGAGTGACTCTGGATCGACCTTGGGGGAACTGAGATTAGAATCCGGCCCTCCCCACATTCCAAACAGGAGTGACTCCGTATTGACCCAGGCCCTGACTCCATATCTTCAGCACTTTCCTTCACGGGTCTCTGGATTTTCACTGGCTGACACCAGGCTCCCGTCTACACTAATCAGCCCCGAGGTGCAATAAGCTCTTGACTGGCAACCCCTGAGACAACCGCCCCTCCCCTCCCCTTCCAGCTGGCTGGGAATTTACCCACAATGCTGTGCTCCCACCATGGCGCTGGGCACCAGGAGCTAGCAGCGTCCCAGGGTGCACTGGGGCAGCTGCGCTGCTGCCTTTAGGGTCTCCCTCCCCCCCACAATTCCAGCAGCACCAGGCATGGGGGGGGGGGCATTCCCAGGGGGTAGTGCATGCCCCCCCCCACCCGGCAATGCCAGCTGGCCCTCTGCAGTGCCCCCTGGCAGCCAGCAGGGAGAACGGGAGTTCTTCCCTCCTCGGGGCAGACAGGGAGGGAGGATTTTAGCCAGCCCCCTGGCCTGCCCCTCACCAGCTAATTTTTAAATCTTCCCACAGGGGGTAGACCCCCCCCTCCAAGTACACACTATTGGTCCTAGAGCTTGGGATCCATCCAGAGGGCCCCCCCCCCCCCATTTTCATGCACCCCTCCTGGGCTCCAGGAACGTACACTACAGATGGGGGGCGTATGGGGAGCACCCCCTCCAAAGTCGAAAGCCATTTGCTTTCGCCTGCTGTGGAATCTCGTCCTTCTGATTACTCTTCTGCCGTCGCCACCGGGAGCAGATGTGGGGCTGCCCCACCGGGACCAACCTCTGTGCCCCCTCCCCACCACCACCTTTCCGGCTCAGCTATCGCGGGGTGGCCTGGGAGAGCCCCCCGGCTCGTCAGCAACCGCGTGGCAACAGGACCAAGCCAGCGGGACCCATCTCCTCCCATGCCTGGGACCCCTGGACTTGCTGCCTCCTCCCGGCGCAGGGGGATTTCACCCCACCCCGGGCGCTGGTGTGGACAGAGGGGAACCGGCGCCAGCCCCGTGCCCGCCCCAGGACTCCAGGGCGGGTTCAGGTTTTTGTAATTATTATTTAAGGATTTAATGGATGCAACTTTCAATGGAATTAAAACACTACAGTCTTGAGTACAACCAGGGGGGTGCCAGGTGTCTGGGGGGGTCAGGGGGGTATCCACTCAGGGCATTAAACACCCAGGACAGCTAGCGGAGAGGGCACCCAACTGGTCTGGAACCAGGAGCACCTTAAACCCTGTTTGGGGCTGGGAACCAGGACTCCTGGGTTCTGTCCTGGGCTCTGGGAGGGGAGTGGGTCCCAGTGGTTAGAACAGGGGGGCTGGGAGCCAGGACTCTTAGATTCCATTACACTGAGCTGTGGGGGGCGGGGGGCTGGTTGATGCAGCCCAGGATGTGAGCACCCCGTGGCCTGGGGCCTTGCTCAGCCCTTAGCTGACGTCCATCTGTCCCCACTGCCTCCTGCCAGCGGCGGCAGCCTGGTGCTGGGGCTCTTTAGCCAGGGACCTACGTTCCCTGTAGGCTGCGGGGGTGGGCAGCAGGCTCTCAAGGGCCTCGCAGGCCGGGGGAGGCACCTCTCCCCTGGCCCCAAGCTGTTGTGGTGAGACAGGGCTGAGGGGAGTCCTCTCTCCCTGGGGCAGCCTGCACCCCAAATTCCTCATCCCTAGAGCCTGCACCCCCAGCCTGAGCCCTCACACTCTCCCTGCCCCAGCCTGGAGCTGCCTCCTGCACCCCAAACCCCACACCCCCAGCGGAGCCCTCACACCCCAGCCCTGAGCCCCTCATCCCTGACCCCACCCCAGAGCCTGCACCCCAAACCCCTCATCTCTGGTCCCACTCCAGAGCCGACACCCTCAGCCCCATATCCCCAGAGCCTGCATCCCCACACGCACTCCGAACCCCTCGGCCCCACCCCTGCCACATGAGTTGTGTAATTCATTCTGCACATTGACGTAAAAAATTAGAGGGAACACGGGGCCCATTGCCCGCTGATGGGATGCAGCCACTTCTGGGGTGGGGCGCGTTGGGTATTTGGCGCGCTCAGACAAAGCACTGACTCAGGTGGCGCCGGGGCTGCTGCTGCTTCCTTGGCAGGTTTATTCTGTCCTTTCCGAGGGAAAAAAATAGCATCGACTCCTACGTAAAACAGCGCCGAGCTACGGGACATCGGCCACAGCGTATGTACAGCCCGCCCCAGCCCTAGGCTAAGAGCCACAGCTATATACACAACAAGAGAGGAAGGGGGGTCTCCCAGCCCCCCCCCGCTTTAACCACTAGACCTCACTCCCCTCCCTGAGCCAGAGAGAACCCAGGAGTCCTGACTCTCAGCCCCCCCCGCTCTAACCACTAGACTCCGCTCCCCTCCCTGAGCCGGAGAGAACCCAGGAGTCCTGACTCCCAGCTCCCCCGCTCTAACCACTAGACCCCGCTCCCCTCCCTGAGCCGGAGAGAACCCAGGAGTCCTGGCTTCCAGTCCACACACACACACACACACACACACACACACACACAACACTCTAACCACTAGACCCCGCTCCCCTTCCTCAGCCAGAGAGAACCCAGGTATTCGGGCCTCCAGCCCCCCCGTGGTGCAGGGCTCAGTGGCAGGCGTTGAAGGGCAGCTTGGCCACGCCCCCGTGCAGCTCCACGGCGCCCTCGGCCCAGGCCACGAGATCCCCGCGGGCGCGGCCGGCGCAGGTGGCCAGCCTGTAGACCTCGCCCGGCGCCAGGACGTGGCTCCACACGTTGAAGTCGGCCAGCTCCCCGATGAAGGCCTGCGTGGCGTCGAAGCGGCCGCCCAGCGTGTCCTGGGGGGGGGAGCAGAGAGGCCAGGGGTAGACCAGGGAGGGCATTAGCCATCCGGAAGGGGGGGGGTACCTTGGAGCGGATGCTCTCAGCCTGGGGCGTGGGGGGGGGTCTCATACCTGCTCCTGCCCCAGGATGAAGACGCCCCCTGGCTTGATGGGGTGCCAGGGGGCCAGGTTCTCCCCGCTGCCCCGCCGCACCCCGTCCTGGTAGCTCTCCCAGATGCCGTCCCGCGTCGACCAGGTCACGCAGATGTGGTGCCACTTGGCGTCGTGGATAGCCAGGGGCAAGGTGGCAGCCTGGGGGGGCGTGGCAGGGAAAGGGTTAAGGGCAGTGCTCGAGGTCGGAGCCCCCCTGCCCCGCAGCCCAGCACCCCCTGATGAGCCCCCCCACCCTGCTCCCCACAGCCCAGCGCCCTCTGCTGAGCCCCCCTCCCCGCAGCCCAGCGCCCCCTGCTGGGCCCGCAGCCCGCTCCCCGCAGCACAGAGCCCCCTGCAGCATCGCATCCTCTGCTGACCATGGCAGTCCCCAGCCCCGCACCTTGTCGTTGATGAGCAGCTCCATGGGGTTGTTGCCCCACTCAATGAGCACCAGCTCGTTGGCCTGGCCAGGCACGGAGTAGGAGAAGGGGGTGCCAACGCCAGGCGCTGAGCTGGACTTGAGCCAGAGGCAGACAGTGAAAGCGAAGATCTCGTGATGCAGCGTCCGCTTCACCTTGACGTACATGTAGTTGGTGCGAAGGGGGAAGCCCACACGGAAAACCTCGTCCGGCTTCTCCACTTTGTGCCCTAGAGGGACAAGGTCAGTCCTGGGGCGGCCAGACACAACCAGCCCCAGGGGAAAGGGGATGTGATTCTGGCCAGTAGCCAGTCAGCCATCTCCACATGCACTGATACGGCCATCAAACCATCATTGCATCCAGCTGTTCATTCAACTAGCCATCCCTCATTTCAGCCAGCCAGCCAGCCATCCCTCATTTCAGCCAGCCATCCCTCAGGTATCATTTCATCCATCCATAGATCCATCCATCATCTCCTCATCCATCCTTCTAGCCACGTACCATTTCATCCACCCATCCAATGCTCCATCCATGCATCCAGGTACCATTTCATCCATCCATAGATCCATCCATCCATGTACCATTTCATCCATAGATCCATCCCTTTCCTCCATCAATCCGGGTACCATTTCATCCATCCATTCAATGCTCCATCCATCCATGTACCATTTCATCCATCCATTCAACACTCCATCCATTCTTCTATCCAGGTACCATTTCATCCATCCATTCAACGCTCCATCCATTCTTCTATCCAGGTACCATTTCATCCATCCATTCAACGCTCCATCCATTCTTCTATCCAGGTACTATTTCATCCATCCATTCAACGCTCCATCCATTCTTCTATCCAGGTACTATTTCATCCATCCATTCAATGATCCATCCATAGATCCATCCATCCATGTACCATTTCATCCATAGGTCCATCCCTTTCCTCCATCCATCCATCCATGTACCATTTCATCCATAGGTCCATCCCTTTCCTCCATCCATCCATCCATGTACCATTTCATCCATCCATTCAACGTTCCATCCATAGCTTCGCCCATCAGTGATTCCATCCATTCATTCAATTATCAATTCAGCCATACATAAGTCCATCCATGCAACTACCTAGCTTTGTAGCTACAATGCCACCCATCCATCTATTCTGTTATCCCCCTGTCCATCCCTGCAGTGAGTCCTATTCATCCAGCCACAGCTCTAGTCTGGATCCTTCGATGCCCACACCCACCAACTATCCATCTGCCGATACCCCCGCACCCCTGCCCCTCACCCTTCTCATGAGGCCCGTGGACCCTGTTCTTGTGCCAGTGCAGCTCCTCGTGGCCGTGGTGCGGCTCCTCGTGGCCGTGGTGTTCGGTGGTGTTGAATTTCTCTTGGATCTGATGCTCCAAGATGCTGATTTTCTTCTGCAGGGCGTCACGCAGGGAGATGGAGAACAGGGAACTGTTGTGGCTGTGCTGGGGGGTGGGGGTGGGGGTGGGAGGAGGGGACTGTGAGCGAGACCTTATCATTCTCTCGGTGCCCATCTACCCTGGTATCCCGCCCTGTCCCTGCTACCCTGGATCGTCCCATGGGCCCATCTACCCTGGTATCCTGCCTCATTTGTACCACCCTGGATTAGACCCATAGGCCCCTCTAGCCCAGCATCCTACCCCCTGTCCCTGGATCATAGAGTCATCAATCCCAAGGCCAGGAAGGTCCAGTGTGCTCACCTAGTCTGACCTCCTGTATTACACAGGCCAGGCTGAGAAAGCGTCAGCGACGGCGAAACCACCACGCTGCTGGGTAAACGGTGCCAGTGGTTAATGACGCTCACCGTCACAAACCTACATCTTATTTCCAGTCTGTCAGCTCGGGTTCCACCTTCCTCAGCGAGATGGAAGAGCCCGTGATTAAATATTCGTTCCCCCTACGTACTGGGATCAAGTCCCGCCTTCACCTTCTCGTTGTTGAGCTAAATAGCTGGCGCTCCTGGCGTCTCTCGCTCTAACGCAGGTTTTCTAATCCTCTAATCACCCCTGTGGCTCTTCTCTGCCCCCTCGCCAATCGGGCAACGTCCTCCTTGGATGGGGGGCACCAGAACTGGATGCAGGAGCCCCACATTGTTGCCCCAGGGCCAAATCGCCTCTCTGCTCCTACTCGAGATTCCCCTGGTGACGCTTCCCAGGTTCCCGTTAGCCCTTTTGACCTTCGCATCGCACAGGGTAGCTCAGGGTTCAACTGATTGGCCACTACGACCCCCCCCTCCAAAAAAAAATCTTTTTCAGAGTTGCTGCTTCCCAGGAGAGAGCCCCCCTGCCCCATCCTAGGAGTCCAGCCAGCATTTGTTCCTAGATGGATACAGGTACATTTAGCCGCATGAAAACCCACAATGCTTGTGTCCAGTTTACCAAGCGATCCAGCTAGCTCCGTAGCCACGCCCTGGCCTCTGTGTTATTTACCCCCACCCTCAATTGTCGTGTCCTCTGTAAACGTCACCGGTGACGATTTCCCGTTTTCTTCCAGGTCGAAAACGTTACATCGCCTCGGGACCAGGGCCAAGCCCTGCGGGACCCCAGGAGAAACACGCGTGCTCGGCGGCGACGCCCCGTTTGCAGTTACAGTTTGCGACCTGGCGTCGGCCAGTTAAAAACTTCCGCGTGGGCCGTGCTGGTTTATAGCGGTCGAAATGCCGTGTGCTACCACGTGAAACGCCGCCCAGAAGCGTCAGTTTATTACATCAACTCGCTTAGCGTTAGCAACCAAACTTGTCATCTCAGCCAAAAGCGAGATCAAGTTAGTTTGATGGGATCTATTTCCCATAAACCCCTGCTGATTGGCATTAAGTACATTGCCCTCCTTCAAGTCTTTATTGAGTCCTGTATCAGTCACTCCATTAACTTGCTAGGGATTGATGTCAGACCGACAGGCCTGGAACTGCCCCGGGTCATGTGCTTTATTCTTTGTAAATAGTGGCACATTAGCTCTCTTCCAGTGCTCCAAGACTTATTGGAAATCAACATTAATGGGCCAGTGAGCGTCTCAGCCAGCTCTTTTAAAACTCTTGGTTGCAAGTTATCTGGACCTGCTGATTTTAAAAGTCTAACTGTAGTTGCTGCTGTTTACCATCCTCCTGAGACACTAGGGGAATGGAAAGTGGTATCGTATGATAGGCCATCATCTATTTTCCCCCAAATACACAACAGAAATATTTGTTGAACAATTCTACCTTTTCTGCTTTATTGTTCATAATTCTACCATTTCCATCTAGCAATGGACCAATACCATTGTCAGGATTCTTTTTATTTTTAATATACTTAAAAAAACCCTCCTTCTTATTGTACCTAGCTCTGCTGGACATAGACCCTCTGCTGACCCTTTGCTTCCCATATCAATTTTCTACAAATCATAGCTTCTGATTTATATTCATTACTATCAACTTCCTCTTTGCTTCTGATTTATATTCATTACTATCAATTTCCCCATTGCTTCTGATTTATATTCATTACTATGAGCTTCCCCTATCTTCTAGTTGTTATACCTCGTTGTCTGCCTTCACTTCCTCTCTAAGGTTGTGTTGTTAACCAGCGCAGCCTTTTCCCTCAGCTGTGGTTTTCGGGTGTCTGGTATAGCGTTCTTAGGCAATTTCCAATGATCATTCACATTTTTCTGATTAAATTCTTCCTTCCGGCTGATTTGGCTTATCATTGTTTTCATCTTTGTGAAACTGGCCCTTTTAAAGCACCAAGGAAATAATCTCATCACTCTGGACTTTACTCTCTTTGCACATTATGAATACCATCAAGGCGTGGTCCCTTGTACCAGAGCCACCATTAATTTCTAGCTCCGTGCTCAGTTCCTCATTCTGTTAGGATGAGTAGAATTCCCCCGTGTCGGTGGCTACAGCGTTTGAGACAGGAACTCGTCAACTGGCACGTTTAGAAATTCCCAGAATGATTTAGTGTTGGCAACACATGGCCTCCAGCGTACATTATTCAAATTGAAGCCCCAGGGATCACGCCGCTTTTGTTCCTATACATTACAGGGGGCATAAATTGTTGTTCACTCTGGTCCCTAGTGTGCTTCGAAGGGGCTGTAGCGGACTCCAACTAATAACCCTTCTTGTTCTTTATCGGTTAGGCCATTGATCCCAAAGCGTAGAGGATTTTCGGCCGTGTCGTCCGTGACGCGGAAACAGGGCGTGCCATTTGCGGCGTGGATTTCCCTTTCGCCCACCAGGTATCAGTGATATCAGCTGGATCACCTTAGGTTCACACGCGAGCAAGTCCAAAGCCTCTTGGTTGTTGCCCAGGGGCCGAGCTTTGCTGTACAGGCAACGCGAGGCTTTTCCTCCCCTCACATCCTTTGCTTCCTTGATTCATTTTTTCCCCTCAGAATCCTGATTTTGGGGAGAAGCCCTCAGCCTGCTCCTCCACTCGCCCCACTCCCCTCCCATCACGTTCTGGGGACAGGTCGGCCGGAGCCATCAAGCCAAGATCTAACACAGCCGGACGCAACATTTCCTGAGACCCCCCGGCCTGTCTGGCCTGGTATTTAGGCCCAGCGCCCTACTGAGGCCCTGATCTCCTCCCCTCATACCCCTGCCCCATGGGGGGGGGAAGGGGGCATCTGACCTCTTCTCCCCCCCGAGCCAGGTGGTTCGGGTTTCCCAGACATGCTGAGAAGGGACAAACAGGAAGGAAGAGGCCAAGGGGGGTTATATTTAGCTGAATGCTCCGGCCAGGACCCGAGCTGCTCCCGCTAATCCATCCCCCTCCTCCCACAGAGCCGCCAGCGCCAATTAGCGGCGGTGCCACAAACCCACTGATGCCAATGGAGCAGCCTTTGTATGGTGCTGGAGGGCAGCCTGATCCTCCACTAGCCCACACTCCCCTCCCAGAGCTGGGAGAGAACCCAGGAGTCCTGGCTCCCAGCCCCTTGCTCTAACCACTAGCCCCCACTCCCCTCCCAGAGCTGGGGAGAGAACCCAGGAGTCCTGGCTCCCAACCCCTTGCTCTAACCACTAGCCCCCACTCCCCTCCCAGAGCTAGGGAGAGAACCCAGGAGTCCTGGCTCCCAGCCCCCTGCTCTAACCACTAGCCCCCCACTCCCCTCCCAGAACAAGGGATAGAACCCATAAGGACGGCCAGATTGGGTCAGACCAAAGGTCCATCTAGCCCACTATCCTGTCTGCTGACAGTGGCCAATGCCAGGTGCCCCAGAGGGAGTGAACCTAACAGGCAATGATCAAGTGATCTCTCTCCTGCCCAGGAGTCCTGGCTCCCAGCTCCCTGCTCTAACCACTAGCCCCCACTCCCTTCCCAGAGCCAGAGACAACCCGGGAGTCCTGACTCTCAGCTGCTCTTCCTCTACACGGGGAACAAATACTCAGTAACGGACTCTCCACTGTAGCAGAGGACGGTCGAGCCCGATCCCAGGGCTGGAAGTTGAAGCGAGACACATTCCCGCGGGAAACAGCGTGGACATTTCTCATGGGAGAGCAATTAACCAGCGGAACAACGGGCCCGGCGCACGGTGGATTCTCCCTCACCGGCAGCGTGGGGCTCGTTCTCCGAACGCTCGGCCCTGGGAACAGCTGGGGGCCGTCCCCGGGCCTGTGCTGTCCAGGAGCTCAGATCGCCTGACCACCACAGTCCCCACTGGTCTTGGATCTGTGACTCTAACCACTAGACCCCACTTCCGTCGAGTGCGCTTTGAGGAATGGGGCACGGGGCCTTTGCCCTCTAGGGGCTGCCAGCTCTGATCTGCCCCAGGGCAAGGACTGGCTGGCTCAGGGGGGCAGGGAATGGGGCCTGGGGCCTGTCCCCTCTAGGAGGCGCCGACTCCCATCCGGCCCCAGGGCGGAGACTGGCTGGCTGCGTCCCAGGACCCTGGGAAACGTTCATCTTCCAGAACCATCCCAGTAATTCAAGGGCAAAGGGGTCTTAACTGGGGTCTTGGCAGATGGTCTTGAAATAGGATCAATCAGTAATTCCTCCGGGCTGGGATCTGGGGGCTGTTTCTACTTAATTAGTTAAAGCCGGAGGCAGGGGGCTGGGAATCTGGACTCCTGGGTTCTATCCCTGGCTCTGGGAGGGGAGTGGGGTGTAATGGCTTGGGGGGGGGGAGCAGGCCATGAGGTTCCTAACTGGGTGAGTGATGAGAGAGGTTGAGATGATGGAGGAAGGGGGAGGGGGTAAACTGAGGTAATGGGGGCGGGGCTGGTGGTGTTAGGGGGCAAGCAATGGCAAAGGATGCAAGGGGATGGGGTGAGGGGGGCCGTGGGGAGCTGACCTGATCCTAGCATAGGGGGATGGGGGGTGATCCTGCCCCAGGGTGAGAAGGGAGGTTATGGGAGTGACAGTTGGGGACTGATAGGATGGGGTGTGGGGGGACGGGGCCTATAAGGGGCTGCTCCTTGAGCCATCTCAGCATTTAGGGAGGGGGCGGCTGGGGGGTGAATGAGGCCCAACAGTTTTCTGTTGATGCTCCAACCCCTCCTAGAAAGACTCCAGCGTGAGGAAGGGGGGCACTGGTGGGGGG